CTCAAATGATAGATCGATGAATTTTCTTTCGACAATTCCTCTACCATTTTTCACGAAACCCAGCCGATCTTCTACGGCGTAGTGCGTACAGGGTAAAGATTTCTCTGCACGCCAGCACCCAGGATCCGCCTCTCCGATCGTCGGCGCGCGGTCCTCGGTAGCGCAGTCGGTAGCGTATCGGGCTACGGATCCGAGGGTCGTGAGTTCGAATCCTGGGAGCGCCGCGTGATTTTGGCTAGAATTGAATGATGTAGATTCTTGATTGTTTGTATAATCAATTATTAATAGCTAGTTGAATGTATCTGCCCACTAATCGGCCCCTAAATCCTGTTATTTAAGAAATTTAAGAAATGAATGTCACGTGCGCGTCACGACTGCCAACCATAAGCGCTACCATATTCTAGTTTGAACTAACTTTTTGCTAGTCCCGACCACATACAGTAGGTTTTCTAGTAGTTATACTAGAAATTCCTACCAAAGCTCGTCCTACCCTTCACTCAATATACCCTGATTTCTATTATTGAAATCGCGTCTCCTGCCGTCAGTACTTTTTCGTCGCAGTGATTTACACTTTTAGAATTTTCTTCAATAATTGTGGTATTCAGTTCTGCCTCTGATTTGCAATGGAAATTATCATTTGAATTGAAGTGAAGAAGGCCTTGTTGTGGCCCTGCACAACCTCGCTGAAAAGTGAAACTGAAACGGCTGGAATAATAGTATTGCAACTGGTTTCAAATTATTCTTCAAATTTCCTCGAAGTCAGGCTTAGACCTATGAATAACATCAGATTTGCAAGCATGTTCAAACTGCTCCGTTGATCTCCAGAACATCAGGCTCTTCTGATGCTTACAATGCCTGCGGCTGCAACATTATATTGCTAAGAATAGCAGTTCAGCAAGATGCATGCAGTGCAGATTAATTGTGGTGTGAATTTTGTGTGGATCAGTGCACAATGCGTGCCTTGATGTGGTAAATGCCATGCCGAACGGCTGTGCTGTGATATGAGCTGGCACTGTTGATGCAATGCTATCTAAGAAATTTTCAGAAGACAAATGAGACATCATTGAATATTGCTGACTAGTTTCCATATAAGTGCAGAGTTCCCAAGCTTGCACCCTTTTTTCATGTGATTGTGCACATTTCCAGCCTATGTGCGTGCTAGTGCGGAATACTTAGTTGCTAGTTTGGCTCAGGGGGGCGACATGGCTATTCACGCAATGTATTCATTTGCGGGCCTCGCGGGGCCTCGCGATGACGCGGCTGGAGGCAACCACTCAGCGCGCTAGGATCCTTCTGGCGGGGCCGGGCGCCGTAAGCTGTGCAATGAATGGGCGGGCAGACAGAGATGAGGCAGGTATTGAATTTGAAATGACATCATGAGCAATTGGATGGGGAGAGAGAACGTTTCTAATGGAGCTTGGGATGGGGGAAAACCAAAAATATCACGGTCGGTTCAGTGCTCCGACGGGGCCGGGCGCCGTACGGTGCGTAGTAATTTAGACGGGCAGACAGAGATGAGTTATCGGATTCGGCTCTCTCGTGGGATTTTAAGACATTTTTAGTTAAGCTCAGGGTGGGGCAACCCGCTGGCGGATCCAAGGGAAGGCATTTGGGACAAATGTTATCCCCCACAGGCCCACATCCGGGGCAGCGTCCGAAATCGTTTTTCGAGAATAAAACTAAAACTTCATAATTTTTATGAGGAAAAGTTTATTGACCGAACTGCACAGTAGTGCGCAAGGAATCGAAATCCGATGTTTTTTTTTTAAATTCACAGAAACCTTTCTTAGGGTATATGCCCCCCGATGTGTTCAAGACCGCTTCCTGCCACGGCGGATCCACCCTAGTAGCCACGGTCGATTATCGAGCTTCGGCGGGACTGGGCGCTGTATGTGTCGTACCTACAATGAAGAGGCGTACACCCAGGGTATATTGAGTGAAGGGTAGGACGAACTTTGGTAGGAATTTCTAGTATAACTACTAGAAAACCTACTATATGTGGTCGGGACTAGCAAAAAGTTAGTTGAAACTAGAATATGGTAGCGCTTATGGTTGGCAGTCATGACGCGCACGTGACATCCATTTCTTAAATTTCTTAAATTACAGGTTTTAGGGGCCGATTAGTGGGCAGATACATTCAATTAGCTATTAATAATTGATAATGCAAACATTCAAGAATCTACATCATCCAATTCTAGGCAAAATCACGCGGCGCTGCCAGGATTCGAACTCACGACCCTCGGATCCGTAGCCCGATACGCTACCGACTGCGCTACCGAGGACCGCGCGCCGACGGTCGGAGAGGCGGATCCCGGGTGCTGGCGTGCAGAGAAATCTTTACCCTGTACGCCGTAGAAGATCGGCTGGGTTTCGTGAAAAATGGTAGAGAAATTGTCGAAAGAAAATTCATCGATCTATCATTTGAGACTAAGAACCATTGATTCTTTCAAAGGTTGACCAAGATATCGCTCGCCTAAAACAGGCCATTTAACATGTAAACCCTATGGGCTGGTAGGAAATGTACGCCGTGGAGCAGCAGTGCTACCAACTTACTTCGGCGGGGGCCGCGTACACCTCACCCCACATCCTACTGCTCTATACGTGCCTCTGGGTGAAGCACTGAAGCATCACGGAAGCCCACAGGGTCTGCGAGTCGACGAGGTGGCCGCCGGATACTGAAGCTCCCCGGAGTTGCCCGGGACCGAGGGTTTAACAGTAGTAATTTCACTGGTGGTGAATCCTCGTAATGTAGAGATAATGTCTTCAAGGACCTCCATTACGATTTTATATTCCTAAACAATATGGCAGACCAATTATGCTTGCCTACGTTCAGGCACTATCCCTGATGCTTATCCGCCCACTACAACATGTGTTGTCTGTCAATCAACCATCGCTCGACGACGGGATCAATTCTAACCATCGGTATTCGATTGTCAATTCACCCACCCTGTTTCCCTATAAATAGACGGGTCAGACTCGGCTTGGGTCCTAACGAATAACGAGTCCTAGAATCGCCAGAGACGGGATCGGGTCGCCGTTATTGCACCGGTCTTGGCGTCTTTTGGTACATATAGAGTAGACAGCTTCGACCACAGACGTCGGACCGTTCTACGAATGTGCGCACCATCCAGGCCTAAAATGCGTCGAGCTTTATAAGAATGCAGTCTAGATCAATCAACATAGCAATGGTGGTATGCAAACGCTTTAAAATCTCTCCCCGGCTCCCGCAACGTCCCAATGCTCCTCCGTTCTACGCTCGCTCGATGCGTCCACCGAGCCGGCTTGCCTCCAATGACGTTATCGGCCGGCCGGCGGCGTTCAAGGTCAAACGGCTGGTGTCCTTACCTGGAGTTCTATAGCCTTGGTTTGGCTGGCACAGCTTGTCAACTCAAGTGTCAACTCTGTGGTAAATGTGAAGATGAAGTCCAGTGAAGATTTTGAACATTTAACTTGACCTAACCTTACCTTCTAAATTAAAGCTTTCAACCTACCAATATACTACCTACGAACCCACCAGCCTAAAACCTGCAACCTAACTCATACAACCTATCCAAACTAAAGTCTACAATCTGGACTTCATCTACACATATATCAACTCTATTGCCTGATAATCTTTTCTTGTTTCACACAATCTTATGGCCTGATATGTCTTTCTGAAGCAATGGTCAAAGAATGTGATAAGCTAAGTAATTTTGCACAAATGGAGATAAATAAATTTATATGAGTGTTTTGAGCTAAGTTGTGTTTCAGTGGTGTTAAATGGAATGCTGTCATCATCACATTGCATTGCCACCATGATCAAAGGCTGATGGAGACAGAAGTATTGACTATTGAGATGAGCCATCCATTTGTGTTTTTACCAATGCATTACCTTAGGCCTTTAGGGAAAAGTGATCAAAAGTTGTTGAGTGAAGGGGAATATGGAGGAGAGCATTTATTGTTTGTTTCTGGGAAGAAGCAAATCAATAAAACTTATGAACAACAAGTGATCATGCATTGTATTATGAGCCCAAATCAAACAGGATTCTCTCATGACCATACTAAATGCACACTGCACAGCCCTTAGCTGTTTGTGCACAGTGGAACCCGACCCGCTTAACTCTCGCCGGACTTATTGGTTTTCTACATCCGCCCCGGCCGGGGGCTGAGGAACTGGAGTCATGGCTTGACTCCAGTTCTGACCGGAGTCAAGCCATGATTCTGACTCCGGTCAGAACTGTCGACTCCGACCGACTACAACTCCGACTACGACACCCTGAAAGGTCTGCGGAGGGGATCGAATTTCGGTGACTGACTCGGACTCCAGCTTTTAAAATCGACTCTGACTCCGACTCGATGACTCAGGTCAGAACTGTCAACTCCGACCGACTTCATGACTCCGACTCCGGAGCCCTACAACTTTAAGCCCCAAAATTTTATTTTCTCGAAATTACTCACTAATCACTATCCTCTACATAGAAAGAAAGCACAGCAACAACGTTCTCTCTTTATATGAAATGCGTCACTCCTGGGTCAGGTATCACAATGTGCTATTAAATACCAAATTGCCCAAGTGGGCGGTGTTACCCAAAGGTCCGCATTTTTCTACAAAATCTTTCAATATGGCAGCACGACAAAAATTGCTTCGAGCAGAAGCACGAAAAGTTTGGATGAGTCCTAATTATGGCAAAAAATGCCACTTCAGGATCATTGTCTGTCAAATAAGTTTTCTTCTGCTACTTATGCTAGAAAAAGTATAAAACGTAATCAACAAACGTAAAATTCTGAATTTCTCGCAAATTACCTAAAACAATGCGGTGCACTGCCCATACCTGCACTTCTGTTGACGTCACGCTGCCAAAAGACAGCTGTCGCCCTAGACCTTTTCATATTTCTGATATCGGGGTGAACGGTGTTCCCCAAGGGGCGGTGTTCCCCGTCTTCCCTAATTTCAAGCCATGACAAGCATCTCGTGGTTTGAAGTAGTAAGAGGTCATTGCCGCGGGGGCTGCCGTACATACCTGTTTGGCCAGATGGTAGGCGATGCTGCACCCAGCGATGCCACCGCCGATAATGCACGTGTCTACCGTCTCCGGCACGGCGCTCCTGCAACGAAGGACCGACTTCCCAGTGACACCGGACTCAAATAGCACTTAACCCGCGCCGTGCTGGGGGGGGGCGTTTTTACGCCCCCCCCTCAGGTTTTTCGCGAATATCTCAAAAACGGCGGCGCGCAGCGCCGCCGTTTTTGGTACACGTGTTCCTACATCATTTCCGCACATGTTGTGAAAATTTCAGACCTAGGCCGTTCAAGGTCAGGTCACCAGGTCACGTCAAGTGACCTTACCTCAGAAAAAGTTCAAAGGCTCGCTATAGCTACACCGACTGAACGATCACTTTGAAACTTTCAGCGATTGATATGAGTAACAGTATGTATAAAATGTATATCTCGGATTTTTGATATCTGTGACCTAAGGTCAGGTCAATTTTGCGACCTCTCCATTATAAGTCAATGGGAGAAAATTGAAATGCGCCTCTTTTGGACGAATATCGTTCAAAACGCTCTCAAACATCGGTTCATAGGTAAACATGACACACTGAATAGGAAAAATGCACCTGTGACCCCTCTGTGTGCCCCTGAGGTCATCTCAGGTCATGAACGGTCGCCAGCAGTTTTTTGGCTATAACTTTTGATAGAGACGTGCTAGAGCGGTGAAAACACGTCAGATGTGTTCAGCTCGACGATACGGATCGACTGATATGCAACATGACCCTTTTCGGTCAGGTCATGACCTTGACCTGAGGTCAAATTTTCAAAATGACCTTTCAAGGTCAACAAATAGTTCATTCGACGCGTCTCGACGAGAGGAACACGATGCTGGCAAAAGTAATGTCATGGCGCTTATGAGTCAAAAGTTATTGACGAAAAAACGTGTTTCGTAAAAACGGCTATTTTTGGAGTTTTTGCCCTCTGGAGGCTAAACCGTTGACCTGAGGTCAAATCTGAGAACATTACTCAGAAAGGTCTGTAAAAGGGCTATCGAATGCGCTTTTCCGCGGCGCTGTAGCTCTATCGGTTCCCGAGATAGCCGTTGGCAGTTTCCAAAATGTTGAAATAGTCAACATTTTACCTTTGGTGACCTCTGGTGACCTGACCTTTGACCTGACCCAAAAAATGACCGAAGTGTTTTCGTCCTTATTTTTGACGCTCTTTCGATTGCCGCTTACCGCGTGTCGCTACGTGGCCCAGGAGCCGAGTTAGACGGGGGGGCGTGAAAACGCCCCCCCCCCCCAGCACTCGGCGGAAAGTTCAGGCCACCAGCACGGCGCGGGTTAAAATGTCGTTTGCTAGGCGACTGCTGTATGGGATTGTGCGTTTCAGCCGTTTTTGTTGCCTAATCGTTTGATCAAGAACAATATGATAAAGCGAGAATGAAAAGTAAGGTGCCCTAAGGGCTGGGAAATCTCTCATACTTTCATACCCCAGTAGGTAGCAGATATCGCTTTATTGTTTCCATCAATTGTAGCAAAATCAGCATTTCTCTCTTCCGTAGATCATAAAGAAAAATACAATTAAAACATCAAAATTAGCACATTTTTGAAATAGAGGTACAATCGCTCAGTGATCTCGTCGGCGAATAAGAACAAAACATCTGTAAAACCAACACAATTTCAAAACGTCAGCCTTGTGTTCCATATTATGACTAATCTGGCAGCTCTTTGTAGCAGTTTCCATTGTAGCCATCACTAATTCTTCATACTCTGAGTCGTGTAGCTAAAGGTATCTGCTACGCCTTCTTATGCGCTATCTTTCTTATAAATATTGCAAAAAGGAGTTTCATTATTTGTGAAATAATGCAAAGACATATTTACGAAATAAAACATTGTCTCAGAAGGGCATTGTTCAATGATCAATAGAAATACCAAAGGAATCAACTCATTCTGCCCATGACAGCTCTAAAAGCCTTCTTTTATGAAGCAGTGTCCTGCAACGTCTTTAATTCTTTTTGCTGACGTCATACAATATTTTAGCTAGTTTCTAGTGTATTTTTTGTTGTAATTATACATAATTGAATAAAAAAAGAGTTTCACAGCATCAATCAATCTTCTTTTGTAAGTAACATTAAGAAATATTAACAAATATATACAAAAACATCATTAATGTTTGTGTGTTTGGTTGATGCGTTGTTTCTGGCGCATTAGAGACGATTCTAGTTGTCGTTTCGAGTGGGTAGTTTAGATGCGTTTGATAAGTGTTTCTTCGGTGTTTATGTATCATTTCGCCATTGTATCTTTTATTTTGCCTCGGGGGGGGGGGGGGTGGGAAGTGGGATATTCCAGGCCTAATTTCAAGTGTTTTAATGACAACTGTCCGTATAGCGGCGTGTAGTACCCAGTTAAAGAGCAAGGTAGCCGTCCAGCACGCAAAGCAAGATGTGAAGATATTGGGAGATATGATCGAATTTGCGCAGGTGAGATCTGATTGAAATATTGATCAAGTAACGCCCAGAAAAGAATATTTCATTTACTTCTTTAATGTTCAATTATTATAGGTATTTCCTCTAAACCTTGATAGGTGACAACTGGCAACATGTGTACGGTTACCTACAGCGGGTTCGGCATGCACAATTATTGAAAATTGTTGACCAGACTGATAAGCCAAATCAGCCTGATTTCTTCCAAATACTTTCTGCCTGAGTAGGCTAATATCTTCTGAATCCTAAAGGTGCTGGGATGCTGAAAGGAAAATTCTAGGGCTCACTGCACGGAGAAAAATAATTACTCCCCCCGGGAATCACGATCCCCTATTTGGGAATCAACTGACACCCATGGTGTAATCCGATTCTGAAAAACAGTGTCCATACACCGTTTTTTAGTGTAAATTGATCTCGGTCAGAATCACATACCCAAGGGTCATTTGACTCCCAAAATTTTGACTCCCATTTTAGGTGTCGTGTCAAAAGATCCTGCACGGTGTCAGTGTAAAATAACACATCTAAGCGTTTTTGACGCTATCGTGAGGAGTTTTTATATCCTATAGGTGTCATTTCACACAGTTGAGCGTTTTCGCAATCCGTGACTCCCTTATTAGGTGTAATTTGATCCTCAGTGGTGTCATAATATTCCGTTCAAATGACTTATTGAGTGTAATTTGACCCTCGGTTGTGTCATAATATTCCGGTGTCATTTGAGCCCCATTGGGTTCAAATGACACCGGAATATTATGGCACCACTGAGGGTCAAATCACACCTAATAAGCGAGTCACGGATTACGAAAACGCTCAACTGAGTGAAATGACACCCATAGGGATCAAAAACTCCACATGATAGTATCAAAAAACACTAAATTATTACAGAAATTGTTTTGACGTCACTGGTGTATACCACCATCTCTTGACTCTGCAGTGTTGGTTCCTATAGGAACCAACACTGCAGAGTCAAGAGATTTTCGGTGAATCAGACTCCGAATCCAGCTCCGGCTTCCAATATCGACTCCGACTCCGACTATACGGCCAGAACTGTCGTTTCCAACCGACTCCGACTACCCTATTTGTCGGACTCCAACGGACTCCGACTCTGACTCCGTAGCCCTGGTGTAGGTTCAGTGGTTTGAAATTTGAATCAATGCCCCGAGTGACGTCATGTGTGAGCTAGCCATGGCTGGTTCGCTACGAAGATGAAATAGGCAATAGCCCAATCAGCAGGCTGCACTGTCAATTTGCGGACGAAGATTTGCGAAAAAAAATGCGAGACGAAGAAATGCGGAAACGAAGAAATGTGCGGACGAAGAAATGCGAGACGAAAAAATACGGAGACGAAGAAATGCGAGACGAAGAAATGCGAGACGAAGACATGCAAGACGAAGACATGCAAGACGAAGACATGCGAGGCGAAGAAATGCGAGACGAAGAAATGCGAGACGAAGAAATGCGAGACGAAGAAATGCGAGACGAAGAAATGCGAAACGAAAAAATGCGAGACAAAGAAATGCGCGGACGAAGAAATGCGGAGACGAAGAAATGCTCGGACGAAGAAATGCGAGACAAGTTGATTTCTTAGTATCTTATACATTAGTGAGGGTTTATGATACCAACAAAATACCAAAAACATTACGATTCAAATACCAAATACCAAGTTGGTATCGGTTTGGTATCGGTATACCAAAAAGTTGGTAACCGATTGACATCTCTTGTTTGTACCATATTTTGATATCCAAGGACAAGAAACGTCGGAGAAAATAATCGCGGATCGGTGCAAAAGCAAAATGCTCAAATCAGAGCGGCTTTCCTACAAAGCATTAACAGAAAGAAACGCACAAAAAGAAATGTTAACACAAAAATAAGGTGCAAAATAAGTCCACCTGGCAACAGGTCACGACGGCTCCGCCAGCAGCCCGCCGAGTAGCCTTCCGGACATAGTCACCAGGTGTTCTGGCCCCGGGCAGCAACAATCGGGTACAATGTTGTGTAGTGTGTATGTGTTGGGGGGGGGGGGGGTGCGTGCGTGCGTGCGTGCGCGTTATGATCATAGATGATGTCTTCATATATTTAGGCCATGTCGGGTCAGGTCAGGTCAGGTCAACCAGTAAGGGTTTTGCCGGGTATTTGTAGTAGGTGGCAACCCCCTCTGACAGCTTCGTAACATGTTACGAAGGCACCAAAGCTACATAGTTAATGTTCAAATGGCTGCTAGATTCGAATTCAGCTCCAAAAACTAGCCTAGAAACATGTAAAACTCGAAAAAGTGAACCAAGGTCATCAAAGGTCAATGACCTTACCTGACCTTCTGGTGACCTTGACACCCACCCTAATGCATGGGAGCAGCATAATATCCCATGTTTGAACGCTTTAAACATGGGAGGCACCAAAAGTTACGAAGGCACCAAAGCTACATAGTTAATGTTCAAATGGCTGCTAGATTCGAATTCAGCTCCAAAAACTAGCCTAGAAACATGTAAAACTCGAAAAAGTGAACCAAGGTCATCAAAGGTCAATGACCTTACCTGACCTTCTGGTGACCTTGACACCCACCCTAATGCATGGGAGCAACATAATATCTCATGTTTGAACGCTTTAACCCCCGAAAAGACTGCAAACTCGCGGCTA